ATCACATGGAACAAAAACATTTTTAGGGCAAAAGAATATTCTTTAGTATATTTTTAATGTATTTTGTATAAACATTTAAATTATAAATTCTTTGTAATGATTAGCTTTATTATTTATCTTAAGTAATATAACTATTACTATCATTAATTCTATTTTATGATTTCAGAGAATCTAAAGGGAAAAAATCTGTTCCGTGGGTTCCATCATTACCAAATAGTTCACATTTGGATGCTGTTCCTCAGGCTACTCCCATTAACCGTAATAGGATTATACAAAAAAAAGTCAGGACTTTTCCACTATGGTGAGTATTTTAATTGATATTTGTTACTATGGTATTTAGTAATAAATAATAATTAATTTTAGCTATGATGATACTGATCCGGCCAACATTCATGAGAATGCCAACTTTTCTGAATTGTTGGTTCCAATTAGACTTGATATGGAAATTGAAGGACAAAAATTGAGAGATACATTTACTTGGAACAAAAATGGTWTGTAAATTAATTCAATTAAGTTGTCGTTTTGTTTTTATCGATTGGCACRTAATTTTATTTAATCTTTTTTTCTCAGAAAGTTTAATAACTCCAGAGCAGTTTGCTGAAGTGTTATGTGACGATTTAGATTTGAACCCTTTGCCATTTGTACCAGCTATTGCACAATCTATACGTCAGCAAATTGAAGCATTTAATAATGATAATATTTTAGATGAACAACATGACCAAAGAGTTATTATCAAGGTAAATATAATTTATTTTTAATTTTAATTTTAATCATAAATGTGTAATGTTKATAGTGTTTTCTGTATTTCAGTTAAACATTCATGTTGGTAATACATCATTAGTGGATCAAGTTGAATGGGACATGGGTGAAAAAGACAATTCGCCTGAACAGTTTGCCATGAAACTATGTGCCGAATTAGGACTTGGTGGAGAATTTGTAACTGCCATTGCGTACTCCATCAGAGGGCAATTGAGCTGGCATCAGCGTACCTATGCTTTCAGGTAAACCCTTTTATATGATACTACTTAATATGAGATGTGTTATTTATAAAATGGTTTTTTATATTAGTGAAGCACCATTGTCAGTTGTTGAGACTCCGTTTAGACCCCCATCAGATGCTGACCAATGGAGTCCATTCCTAGAGACATTGACAGATGCAGAAATGGAAAAGAAGATAAGAGATCAAGACAGGAATACTAGGCAAGAATCTATTAACTACTTCATTTTTAATCTTTAGCTAAATAAATCTAATAATACTTAATGTTAATGCCAAAAATTGTATATATTCTAGGCGAATGCGACGACTGGCCAACACYACACCAGGATGGTAATAAGATCATTATTAAGTATTTTAAATAGTAAGTAATAAGAAAATCCCCCCACCATGATACTAACATAAGTGGCGTATGACAATTGTGTCTGGAGTTACATAGCGTTTGGATTTTTGTACAAGTTGTGTGATTGATTTTTAAGCGCAAATACTAAAACTTAATTCTGTTAACATTTTTAAAAAATCATTATATTTCAATGTGTTTCACTGAAAATAAAAATTATTTTCTTAAGTTA